CTAGTGGTCAGAAAACCCGGTTCTGGAGAGCCGACAGGCTTTCGTCGCAGCCAAGCACCCATACGAAACTCGACTAATTTAGATCATAACGACGAGGCCACCAATAGAATCAGACGTTTGAGTGCTTGGCGGGAACAAAAGCTGAGACACACCACAGCTGTCCAGTTCCAGGGCTGGTGAGCCATTACATCACAGTTGCTGACACAAATAACAATGCACATTTGTCATTAAACCGAACATTGCGTGTGGTTGGATACTCTGGGGTTTTAGCTCCAGACGTCCTGCGAGTACCGTCCCTTGGTCATGAGTTTCTTGATGTAGTCGGTGGCCTGAGCACGCGTCATGCCTCCCAGTTCCTCTACAATCTCATAGAAGGCTGTCTGCACATCCCTGGCCATGTTTCGTGCATCCCTACAAATGGGTACATCAAGTATTTCGTGAATTCAAGATCGCATTCAACAAGTAGGTCAATTACATTTCCATTGTTATTAAGAGCCTGTTACTCTTCACTAGGAGCCTTTCTTACCCGCAGATGTAGATGTGGGCGTTGTCTGTGTGGATCAGCCTCCATAGGTCCTCCTTGTTAGCCCTCAGGAGATGCTGCACATAGACCTGGACGGGGAGAGCAAGAGGATTCAGAGTTATTCTGTTTTACACCATGAGAGTAAGAGGATTCAGAGTTATTCTGTTTTACACCATGAGAGTAAGAGGATTCAGAGTTATTCTGTTTTACACCATGAGAGCAAGAGGATTCAGAGTTATTCTGTTTTACACCATGAGAGTAAGAGGATTCAGAGTTATTCTGTTTTACACCATGAGAGCAAGAGGATTCAGAGTTATTCTGTTTTACACCATGAGAGCAAGAGGATTCAGAGTTATTCTGTTTTACACAATGAGAGTAAGAGGAATCAGTGTTATTCTGTTTTACACAATGAGAGCAAGAGGAATCAGTGTTATTCTGTTTTACACCATGAGAGCAAGAGGAATCAGTGTTATTCTGTTTTACACCATGAGAGCAAGAGGATTCAGAGTTATTCTGTTTTACACAATGAGAGTAAGAGGAATCAGTGTTATTCTGTTTTACACAATGAGAGCAAGAGGAATCAGTGTTATTCTGTTTTACACCATGAGAGCAAGAGGAATCAGTGTTATTCTGTTTTACACAATGCGAACAAGAGGAATCAGAGTTATTCTGTTTTACACAATGCGAACAAGAGGAATCAGAGTTATTCTGTTTTACACCATGAGAGCAAGAGGAATCAGAGTTATTCTGTTTTACACCGTGAGAGTAAGAGGAATCAGAGTTATTCTGTTTTACACCATGAGAGTAAGAGGAATCAGAGTTATTCTGTTTTACACCATGAGAGTAAGAGGAATCAGTGTTATTCTGTTTTACACAATGAGAGCAAGAGGAATCAGAGTTATTCTGTTTTACACCGTGAGAGTAAGAGGAATCAGAGTTATTCTGTTTTACACCATGAGAGTAAGAGGAATCAGTGTTATTCTGTTTTGGCTGCCTATAACTCGGAACGATCAGTGTTCATCTCCACTACGAAATAATTGTTGTACGAATTATGAATTCTTTTGGAATTTCTCTGTGCTACATCGTCAAAAACAAACTGGTTTTAATAAGGGATGCACTGTAATCAGACATAAAAAAATATGTTTTTGAGCCATCCCTAGTTTTATCGTGTAGACACGGTAAATTTTGAAAGACAACAAACAAATGAAAAGATGCTGGAGGAGTGCTTGCCGCCAAGCATGGTGGAGGCAATGTGATGGTCTGGGGATGCTTTTGTGGTGGTAAAGCGGAGGATTTTTACAGGGATTTTAAAGAAGGAAGGCTAATAACTTTTGCAACGCCTTGTGGAAGCATGGGGATAAATACCTTTTGGTCCTGGTCTCGAGAGAAAGCCACATTCAATTTTGTGATCACCCCTTTCTTCTCAGCCTCAGCCAGCTCCTCCTGGTACAGATAGTCCTCACTCTCGTGCCGGCAGCCGTAGTACAACACAGTCTCCCCTACCTCCTTGCCTACAGAACAGAGCAGACTGCTTGAATAAAAGCAAACCAGTTAAACATTTAAGGCACTTTATTTGTGCTCCAACCTATCGTAGCATCATTCTGATGTTAAGAACTTGTGTACAGACAGCCAATCAGGATTCAAACAATTTGTTTTTTTATAACCATTATTACATCTGATTTGGTAGAAAACTCAGGCTTGTACTTCGTCTTCTATTAAATGACATACAGAAGAAAAGGTGGCAGAGAGAGAGGAAAATTTAAATAATGAAAACTAAAAAACACATACACCCGGAGTCTACAGGTAGCGTCAATTCCATGTACCTTGCTTTTTGAGCCATCCTCGCTCCTGGATAAAGCCGACAAAGGGAGCAATACCGGTCCCAGGGCCGATCATGATGACCGGGTTGCTGGCTTTGAAGGGCAGGCGGAACTGGGACTTGCGGATGTACATGGGGACTATGGACTTGTGGCCGTTGTCCCCAACTACTTTGTTCTTCAGCCAGTTGGTGGCCACTCCCTTGGTTAGACGCCCTGTTCTTGTCGTATACTCCACCAGCACAGCACAGATGTGGATGCTATTAGGATGGACCTACAGGGAAAAAAGTATTAACCAAATATTAACCATTAATCTATTAAATTAATCTATTGCAGATTGATGTGCTGTGGACACTTTATAGCGATTTTCCAACTCAACACAGCATGTACTGCTTGTGAAATTAAAAAAAAACACATGTACTGACAGTTTTGGTCACTAGGGGGAAGTGTTGACTTCAAAGCGAACAGAAAGAAATGGCTTAAAAGGAAAAAACTATTCAAAAAGAAAACGAAATGTACAAATCTGCTCAACAACAGAAATCATATTTGGCCAAGAGCCAATCAACAAAACAACAAAGTAGTAAATGAACTGGGGTCAGCTGTTGACTTAACTCCTAAGGAAACACTGGGCCTGCCCCTAAAGACAGCAGCCCTTTATATGGGCTCACCTTGGACGAGGAGGCGATTGAGTAGTAGCGAGCCTGCAGACGTGGCATGAGCTCGCACAGGTGGTCGATGGGAGGCCGTAGAGACGGCGTGTCCTCCAGGACGGCCAGGATGTTTCTGTTGTCGTCCAGCACAAAATTCTGGTAGAGAGCCTAGAGAACACCATGACAACGGTCAGCAGCGATAACATGGAGTAAAAAAAAGTCGACCCTAACCACCGATCAGAGTGAAGTCCCTTATGAATTTGCACAACACCAGGGACCACTTCCACCCACAGAGAACATTGATGTGGTCAAACATGGACCCACACACTACATGAGCAAGGGGAACACATCCACAGACCCATCCAGCGTCTAGTGTCACAACCAAACATCAGTTTCAGAATGGACTTTTTTTTTTTAAAGTATCAGCTGGGTTGGTGAGTCACTGTAGCTGCCGGTAATTACATTTATTGCTTCAACTGCAGAAGGGAAAACTAGAACGCAGCACTATGACGCCAAACCGTGACGCAGCACCTTCTCACTTATCACTCACAAGGTAAGTTATGTTAAGGACTCTAACCAGGGTTATAAACCAAAGACGATAACTATTTATTTGGCTGCTTGAGTAGAAAGGTTAACACAGGGTGTCACATCTACACACCTTGCCCTCAGGAGAAGATGAGGCCATCTTGCGCATGTTTTCCTGGTCCTTGGTGTCACTGGCGTACTGGGCCAACTCGTACAGGACGTTCGTGCGTGGCGGATGCATGATGTCCAGATAGTGGGTCAAAGCCGTACGGTACGTGGTGGGGCAGGGGAACGGGTGCTTCTTATTGGACTCCTCTGGTTAACGGCATCAGACAACAACACATTAACACTGGCCAGACAAGGGGGACAGTTTTACAGACACTGAAAAAATGCCTGGAAATAAACATTATCCTTCATTGAGACTTTTAGTCCAGAAGGTCTGGGAAACCAGAGGGGTATACTGATCACATAGCAAGACTTAGGTAGAGGTAGGTTATGAAGTTGTTTTTATGTTGTTAAGAAAATTTAAACTGGGAAAGTCTTAAAGGTGATGTCTGATTGACTAGTGAACTAAAAGGTTCAGCCTGTCGAACAAATCACAGTGTTATTTCTGGTTGTACTATCTTAAAAAAATAAAAGCTGCCTAAACGATTAATTCTGCCGTGTAGTATACCATTTCAGCAGAAGCACTTCAGGAGATGCCAAAACAAAATGTTAGTTTAAGGATGTTAGAAAGACATTGAGAGATATTCCGAGGACTGTGCCAAGGTCTGTGTCGTACCGTCAAGGTTGTTGAGAGAGATAACAGTGTCAAGGTCCACACCGAGGATCTGTCCCAACTTGGTCACAATGGCTGTGTCATTAGTAGGATAGACCGCAACATGGTCTCCGGACTCGTATCTACAAAGGCAGACGAGTTATCTTAGCAATACGGAATAAGACACAAATGGATCCTGTATGTCTATTAAGAGACGACCGGTTAGTTACATCACAAAGCACCAGCGCTGCCTCACCTTATCTTGGATCCTGTAATGTCCAGTTCAAGGTGCATGAGATGTCGATCTCCTGCCTTGTTGAGCTTGCGGTTCACAGTGACCGGTGCCAGGAAGGGGTTTTTAGAATCATAAGGCCTGGGGGAAAAGGATTTTCAAACCTAATAATGAGATAGCTTGGGCATATTTGGCAATAAGGAAGTGAGATTAACTTGTAAATACGAACCTACAATTTCTGTGCTAAAATATTAACTGGATCTAATTTAGGTCAAATACAGTTGTTTAAGTCTACACAACATCCACAGGTAATACCATTTTGCTACTTTAAATTGCAACCACTTGGATTTTGTTTTTATAGATTTACATAAACGACTCAACATTTCCAAGTAGAATGCATATGTATTCACAAACCAGAGTTAATTCTTTTTTTTATTTAACCTTTATTTAACCAGGTAGGCCGATTGAGAACATAATCTCATTTGCAACAGCGACCTGGAGAGAAGCTGGGACTGAACCCAGGACATTATACACACAGAGCATGCACTCTACCACTGAGATACCAACTCCTCCAATAGGAACCCAGGACATCATACACACAGAGCATGCACTCTACCACTGAGATACCAACTCCTCCAATAGGAACCCAGGACATTATACACACAGAGCATGCACTCTACCACTGAGATACCAACTCCTCCAATAGGAACCCAGGACATCATACACACAGAGCATGCACTCTACCACTAAGATACCAACTCCTCCAATAGGAACCCAGGACATCATACACACAGAGCATGCACTCTACCACTGAGATACCAACTCCTCCAATAGGAACCCAGGACATCATACACACAGAGCATGCACTCTACCACTGAGATACCAACTCCTCCAATAGGAACCCAGGACATTATACACACAGAGCATGCACTCTACCACTGAGATACCAACTCCTCCAATAGGAACCCAGGACATCATACACACAGAGCATGCACTCTACCACTGAGATACCAACTCCTCCAATAGGAACCCAGGACATTATACACACAGAGCATGCACTCTACCACTGAGATACCAAATCCTACTAAGCTTGGTGGGAGCAAGTCAGCAATGACAGTGAGTAAACATTCAGAACAGGGTTCTACTGACCTAGCACAACTTTTAAGAAAAAAAATGCTATAGATTGTCTTCTACAGATTACAACTAAACTGTTGTTAAGTCATAAAATAAAATGCCTAAATGCAAAGCAGTGGTGAGCAGCATTGTTTATGTTGTGTACACACACACACACACACACACACACATACATATATATATATACATATATATATATCACATATTGACATTCCAATGTGAAATCAATTAAATCTGCAGTCCTGAACATAACTACTTCATTATGCAAACGCAGAACCATGGTTCATTTGAAAGTATAAAAGCAGCAAACAACTTGAAGCGAGTCTTGTAACGAGTGAAGAAAATTAGGATGAATAACTTACGGTTTCTGGACCTCGAAACTCTTCAGACGGCCCAACTCGCCTGTGTACACCTTGTTCATGTTGATGTCGTGGAGCTCCTTGAGCTCATACTGACGAATGCTAGTAGAGAGAGAGAGAGAAGGGTCTCCAGTTAACCTCAATAGACTCCCCTCTTTATGTGTCTGAGGGTAAATGAGAATCAGACAGGTCGAGTACCTGGAGTCCTCTCCTGAAGCCTCCACTCCAAAGTGCTCGCACATAGCTGGCCAAAACTGCTCCCTCCATGTCACGAAGTCCTCCTCCAGGCTAAACGAAAAAAACAGGACAACAACAGGACATTTTACTGTAGTGGTTCATAGGCCTGTCCATTTATCAGATGAATCAGATGTTGGCATTTCCTAAACTAATTTTTGGAATTAGTTGTTAATGAAGATTTAAATCGGAAAAGTGTTATTTTCCTTGTTTATAAAGGTGAACACACATTTTAGCATGATTGGCAACAGTAACACAGATGTTACTGTTGCCAATGGTAACAACAGTACTGCAAGAACCCTCCTCTGGTCAATAACAACCTGGCTGCCCAGAATGAGATCAACTTCTACAGTCAATCAAGGTTAGATTTATTCAGCAAACTCAACAAATTGTGTGTGTTACAGAACAACAGCTACCAAGTAATATACTCCCTGGTATGCAATTTCTTTCTTATAAACCTTTGTTTAAGCATTATTGTATGTTTAGTATGTTGTCAAATTTAGTATGTTTTTTTAAGTAAAACTGATCAGAAAACTGCCCAGACCAAATTCCTTATTGTACCAGGAACACTTAAGAATATACAGCGTTGTGATTTGTCGCTGGTATTGCCAGGCCCCGCCCACCGATGGAGCTGCACTCACTTGCCATCGTCGTCTCCCATGCCCAGGTCAAACACCCTCTTGGCTCCCAGTTCCTCCAGCCTCTTGTCCACATACACACCCATGGCATTGTAGTGTTCATACGTCTTATTACCCAATGCAAACACCTGCAAGCAGAGAGAAATGCGTCAACACCATCCCCAGTGTCACAACGACCAACCTACATACCAACGGCCCTTATACTATAGGAGGGCGGTTACCGGGAGGGGTGAATAAACACCAGAAGGTAACAGTGTCACAACTAATGTAGTGCCCTTAAAATAAAAGTCTTATGAAGTCCTTTCTAGAAGGGTCTAGATCTAAGATCAAGCAGACCTTTTTGAGCGTTTGCTAAATGTAAAAAAGTAAATGAGAGAGGTTGTTCCTCCCCAATCAGAGGGATTCACAAACTGACAACATGACAGAAGTGGTGCTAAAATGAACAAGGTTGGAAAACACTTCTATAAACATGTTTTGGTAAACTTAAGATTGTATATGACACTTTTGGGTTCCCCAGTCAGTGAAAGTTAGCTCTACCAGACTAAATTCGACATTGTCTTATTAAATTAAACACATAAGAAGTTGAAAGGGTGGGAGAATGTCTCTTGTTCATAATAAACCCCGTTCATGCAAGTACAGAGAATCGAAGCATAATAATAATGTGTTCGTGCAAATGCCCCAGCAATTTTCAGTAGAATAAAGGCTGCCCAGTTTAGCTCATTTTAAGGTTGTCCTTGGCAAGTTACGCAAGTGTTTCCTCTTAATTCTGCAGCAGACGTGTGAGTGACAAGCTGTCTGTGCCACCACGACAGTAAGAGTTCACACCCAGACGGAGAAGCACAGAGAAAGAAAGGGGTTTGAGACGGAAGTGGAGAAATATGTTGATCTCAGACAGGCAAATTGGTCCTGGGAAGTCATCCCTCCAATAATAAAACAAAACCAAGGCGCCTATGGCTTTCACTGGAAATGACGGTAGACATTTCACTCATTTACTTTTACTAACCACTAGCAGAAATCATAGCCTAAATGTCCAACAAACACAGTCAGTTGTTATCCAGCCTTCACGTCCATTTAACTGAGTTATACATAAAAGCATTGGCTAGTTAAAAAAGGTTTTCATGTGGTCTGTATGTAACTGCCAATGTAGCTAATGAAATTTGATTTTTTCCCCCAGCCTATGACAAAACCTGCCCACAATGTGTAGGTGGTAAACATCTCACGAATCTCCTGCTGTGAGTACTCTGTACATGTGCATCTCTCCTTCAGTGTGGAGTCATTCTGGACAAACTGACATGCGATTATCCCGCCTATTGGGGGCTGGAACTTCGGATGACCAATAAGAACCTCAATCAGGCCAGGATGGCAGCCATCTCCGCTGGCACCGGATCCAACTCTTAACCACAAAGATAGAGCCGATACTTCCTCATATGAGAGAGAGCGAGGCAGAAACGCAAAGACAAACTCACAGTGTAGTTGACTCCACCCAATTCCCCATCGTGCTCCTGCAGCCAATCATAGAAGTCCTGGGCGTTGTCAGTGGGGTCTCCCTCGCCGTATGTGGCCATGCAGAAGATGGCCAGGGAGTTGTCGATCTCAGCCAGTCGTGACAGCTCACACTGTGGATTACAATGACACATGACTTTACAGGCCTCATGCTCACGAGGCAAATAGGAACGCTACTGTTAAACCACCCTGAGGCAACTCAAGTGTAGATCCATATTGGAGTCGTCTGGGCTCTGGTAGAAGAGAAATATGACACAGCACTGTGCTAAAAAGGGTAACCAAGGTTGTTTCATTGAACCCGGATATCATTTGCAAGCTCAGGTTTGTTGTCGGTTGGTTACCATGTCGTATTCCTCTGGGTCGGCCGCCATGCCCTTCATGCCGTAGCGCTGAGCGTCTTTCGACAGGCGGTTGGCAAACTCCTCGGCAGTGCCCGTCTGCGAGCCATAGAACACCACAATGTTCCGACCCTGGTAACAGACATGGCAACGGTTACAGTGGATGGATGAAGATGATGAAAACCCCTCCAGACACTGGTTACAACCCCATCCCAGTGGTACTGCTATTGTTCTAGTTGATGTCTGATACAAACAATTATGATAATAGACATTCAGTTGCTGTGTGATAGAATAATTACCTATATAACCGTTTATGGTTACTCTGCTAAAAATATTAGGGACATTTGTAGCCAAATCCTACTTGCTTTCTACAGTGGATATTAATTACTCAAGGTCACCTGATGCTGATCAAACCTGAGGTAAAATACTATTGCAATCCATCTGAACTATGGTACCAGGCAAGGCATTTCTGGTTGGCAAAACAATGATTTATTTTTTATACACATACCGTTTTCTTCATCTTCTCAATAAAACTTGTCTCTCGAGTCATAGGGGCTCTGAAAAAAAATAAAAGCTAATGATATAAAATAATGCAACTTAAACATAGAACACCAGATTAAGTCAGAGACCGAAGCGTAACTTGTAATTCATTATCAACATCATCACACCTTATTCCAGGGTCTGCATACTTTACTACAGTGTTTTTATCTTGCCATCATTGTTTGTAGTGAACAACACACACATACACACACAATTTTAGCAGACGCTGTTAACTACCGGAGACTTCAGGGTTAAATATCTTGCTCATGGGCTCAATGGCACCTTGCAAGCTCAGGGATTCAACATGAGTTAAACGGCAGGCTGTCGTATCTGTGCCTTGAGTTTGGAATTTGACAGATGTTCTAGCTATCTCTATAGTAAACACAGGGTAATGGAAGGTTAAAGGGGTTCATGTTCCAATTATTTAAGGGGAGGGGCCTTAGGCTCTCTCGTCCAATTGGTTTTGAGAAGGAGACTAGGAGAGCGAGCACAAGCGTACATAAAACGCGTGCGAGTCTATTTCCACTTACAGGGCTGCCAACTCGCAAACATCGGGCATGTATGTATAACATGTATGTATAACATAAACAGAATAAACAAAACGGTACAATAACCTTTATTATACCAGCTGTACAGGAAGCAACAAAGACGAGAGCAGGCCCCATTTGTGTATCTTCTTACATATATTTGTATTTCTTTTTTAAGTACCTCACAGTAGGATAGTGACAAACTGGATGTTAACTATAATCGTCATCAAATGTCTGTACGGACAGCTAGAGTACTCCAGTAACTTAACGGGTACAAAACATAACCATTGACAGATA